TCCCACAAGTGCTCGATCAAGTCAACTTGACGCCTCTCGTGGACATACGAAGATTGCATTTCCTGGTAATGATTAATCATGGGGTTGTTGAATTGACCATCCCGAAGTAACGGTTCGTGCTCCAATGGATGTCCATTTGGTCCAATCGGCCTTTCATAAATTCTTGTCAAGGCCGTGTTCATGGGATCCGGTTCGAACACCTCTGGAGCTTCATAATCATGTTATGGAGGATTATACAAGTCATCATAATGCTCCGCAGCACCTCTAATAATACCCCAACGAGCTTGCAAGATACCGAAACACCTTTCCACGTCTTTCCTGTTACCTTCTTGAAAGGCAGCAAAGCTTTTTTCCTTCTCAGATTGGGGATTCGGAATTGTTGTCCACCTAGGATAAATTCCGTCAGCAAGGTAGTACGCACCAGAGTATACGGTATTATTGATTTGGTACGTGATATGGGGGGAATGACCTCGCAATACATCGTTGAAGACCGGGGATTGACCAACCACATTGAGGTCATTTTGAGATCCGGCAACTCCGAAGAAGGCATGCCAAACCCAAGTGTCGAATGAAGCTACGGCCTCCAGAATTATACTTTTTTGGCCCTTTCGATTCCCATAATCGCCTTGCCAAGCAGTTGGGAAATTCTTCCCCCCTGCCAGTGCATGCAATCAATGCTTCCGATCATTCCTGGAAAACCTCGAGCCTCACCTCTTTGCAGAAGCCTTTGGAGGTCCCTAGGCGTAGGTTTGTGAAGGTACTCCCTTGTGTAGAGATTTTCTCCTACATCACAAAATCTCACCAAGCACTCTAGGATAGTTGATTTTCCCATTCTTGCAATCTCATCCACCTGCTCTGCAGATGCCCCATAAGCAAGCATCCGCAAAGCAGCTGTAAGTTTTTGCTTCGGGAGAAGACCCAAAACTCCAACAGCATCATACTTTTCAGAAGTATGTGTCGTAATTACAAATATCATGCATGATTTTTTGGAACAAATGTATCTGTATTCTATATCTCTCTCGAAACTTAGAAACAAGATATAAGGAATTTGGGATAAAGTAATCTTCCAAGAGATTCTTACCCCGAGACTGTCTATGTCTGTCCACATTTGGGGCACGACGACGGTGGTGTTGCCTTGATTCATTAAGCATACACACCGCTACAAGCATTTCTTCCTCTTCTTCATCAACCTCCCGATCTTCCTCAGCACGTCTGCGCTAGATTTCTTGCTCTTCTCGCTCTTGCCTCTCCAACACCCTCCTCAAGTTTGACATTGAGAGTAGAATGTGTTTTGTAAAATCTCATAAATGAAAGAATAGATAAGATATGGTGTGAGAGGTATGAGTTAAGGGTGTAGTTTTATAAAGGGATTCAGAAGATAGAGATGACACGTGGCACAATTTTAGAGGGTGAAAATCTTATCTGAAATATGATATTACAATTTTTTTTTTAAATATCTGAAAATCTTATCTAACATGGGACACGTGGCGCAATTTTAGAGGGTGAAAATCTTATCTGAAATCTAAGATTATAATTTTTTTAAAATATCTAAAAATCTTATCTGACATGGGACACGTGGCGCAATTTTAGAGGGTGAAAATTTTATCTGAAATATGAGATTATAATTTTTTTTTTAATAAATATCCAAAATTTTGATCTGAAATAAGACGTGGCAACTGAGAATCTCATCCGAAAATCTTTCTGAAAAATGATGGATACGTGGCAACTAAAAATCTTATCCGAAAATTTAATTCGAAAATGTTATCTGAAATTTTAGGTGATAATTTTATAATAAATAGTGACACGTGGCAACCGAAAATATTATCTGAAAAGCTTATCAAAATTAATAGTTTAAAATATAAAAAAATTCAGACAAAAAAAAAGAAGTATAAAAAAATAGAAAATAAAGTACAATGAATAGTATTTGCTCTTGCCTTAGCCTTTTGGGGTGGAACCAAAAATGGCAAGGCTGGCACTATTTATGTAAATAGTGCCAACTCTTGCCTAGCCTTAGCCTTTTGGGGCGGACATGCTCTACACGAGGAGAAAAACAGACAAAAGCCTCAAATTCAACAGGTGAGGATAGGTGCAATGCAACCTTCATGACTAAAATTACAAAACATTTTCTCATCTCTCATTCAGTTCAGTTTTCCTCACCTCTCTCACATCTCCATGTCTCTTATTTCTCTTCAATTTTCAAAAATCCCATGGTAATATATGTTCGGTTCATTTTTACACATGATTTTTCATGTTATTCACCCACTATTTTGAGTTAGTTCTTGACATTTTATAGCTTTTTACTTCCTTTTTGTGTTTTCTTAGATTTTACCTTGGTTGGAATGAAAATGAGCTAAAAGTGCATTATTGGTTATAAACTTTGTTTTTGTTCATTTTCGTAGGTCAACTTCTTGGCCTGGGATCA